TGCACAGACTTGGTATGGCCCATCCCCACTGTACCTCCTTTCCCTTTTTCAACCTCTAATGACTGTGTTTGTCTATCTAATTCTAGCATTCATACTAAAGAAATACTTTTTACAGGTACACAAAGATATAGGCATAGAAGGGTCCTCATTGCTTTATTTCTGCCTTAGAGGCAATTATATAGGCAAATATATACATATATATATATTAGTATAGTTTCATTAAAAGTCATCTGTAATTTTTACAAAGGGATACCAGACTTAAATGAAGCTCCCTACAACTCTGTTCCTGGGTGTATCTGATCAGACGTCAGAATGCCTCTTTCCAAATTCTTAATGTACCACTAATTAATTCTCTAACTCAGGGCGAGTATTTTTACTTAACCTGTGTGAGTTTTACTTTCCTCACTCACACGTATTAAGAGGGGTGGTCACAATAATCCCTGTGGTCTTTTTGTTGCAAGATTCTATTGTTCTGCTACTTTTGAGGCTTGTGCAATGGTAGGGTGGTGCCTATGGCTCAGAGTATAGGGCGCTGGCCCCATATACTGAGGGCGGAGGGTTTGAACCTGGCCCCTGCCAAACTGCAACAATAAAAAATAGCCGGGAGTTCTGGTGGGCACCTGTAGTCCCAGCTACTCAGAAGGCTAAGGCAAGAGAATGGCTAAGCCAGGGAGTTGGAGGTTGCTGTGAGCTGTGATGCCATGGCACTCTGAGGGCTATAAAGTGGGACTTTGTCTCTAAAAAAAAAAAAATAATAATTGCAAACATTTTTAGAGTGATTGCCTTGTGACAAGCAAGTTCCTTATGTGTATTAACCATTTTACATTCCCATAGCAACTGTATGAAATAAATACTATCAAACCCATTTTATGGAAGAAGAAACTGATGCCCAGAGATTAAGTATGTTGTTCAAAGTCACACAGTTATAAAGTTATATAGAGCTAGAACCTGATTCCAGGCAATCTGACTCCAACATCCATTCTATTTTGCTGCAACTAAAAATCAACCATTTTCTGCTGCATGATTTAAGGATTCATACCCTCCCCCCAAAAAAATAGTGTTAAGGAACCAATCTGAAGAGCCCATGTGAAAAGTGTAGCTGAATATGGGAAAGGAAAGTTATCTAACAGAGCCTGAATGCAAAAGGCCAGCAGAAGTTCTACTTCAATATTTAAGCAGTTGTATAAACTATCGCATCTAGGTGCCATAATGTGACTGTATCTACATAGTCTCATGTAACAACAAACGCAAGGAAAAAAAGATGTCACACCTACGGCATTCTTATGTATCCTTTTTTTCTTTCCCTGAAAAATCACCCCATCAGAGGCACACGGCATTGATGGTTTCCATTTTCATTTCACAGATGAAAGAGCTTGGTGTCATCTTCTACAACTGCAGCTGCCTGGTCCTAGATTTACAGAGGATATTTGCTTTATACAGCTCATTAAAATTCAAGAGTAGAGTCCCTCAAACCTGGTCCAAGAGGCTCTACGGCGTCTATGATAACGAGAAGAAACTGCAGCTTCAGCTGAATGAAACCCAATCGCAAGCGTTTGTGTCGGTGAGTTGCTTGCCCCCTTGTTCCTCGCCCTCCCCCTCCAAAGGCTCTTTATGAACTTGGAAAGTCTGAGTATGATCTTGTATTGGGGAAAAATGAATCAGATCGGTTCTATCCCATGCCTCGAAGAATGGAAATGTATCCACTCTTCTGTACATTCACATGCTGTTCCCATTAATAGTAGGTCTTAGGTATATTCATACGCTGTTCCCAGTAACAGTAGGTCTTTTTTTGTTTGTTTATTTGTTTTTATTTTTTATTTATTTATTTATTTATTTTTATTGAATAGTAACTGTGTACATTAATGCACTTCTGGGGTACAGTGTGGGGTTTTCACAAACAATCCAAAACACTTCCATCAAACTAGTTAACATAGCCTTCACGTAATTTTCTTAGTTATTGTGTTAAAACATTCATATTCTACACATAGAAAGATTCACTTGTACCCTTGTAAGATGAACCACAGAAGTGAACCCTCGAATCCCCCTCCTTCCACCCGTTCCCCCCTCCCTCCCCGTTCCCCGTATCCTTAGGTTGTTATTAGGTTATAGCTTTCATATAAAAAGTATAAATTAGTTTCATAATAGGGGTGTGTACATTGGATACTTTTTCCTCCATTCTTGTGATACTTTGCTCAGAAGAACATTCTCCAGCTCTATCTATGTGAAACAGTAGGTCTTAATAGTCATTCCTCTTGTCAGATACTTTGATGATCTGGTTTGATTCCCTCAGTCATCCTGTAAAGCAGGCATGGGATGGTGACCCTTTTACAAATGAAGTTATCAAAACTTAACACTAGCACAAAGTCCACCAGATAGGAAGAGCCAAGACCAGCATCAGGTCTTCGGACGCCAGAATATAAGACACCTTTATTCAAGGCCCTATATCAATATTTTTCAATTTTGTTGTTGTTGTTGTTGTTGTTTCAAAATATTAAGTAAGGGGGTAGAAGTGTTTTTGTTACATGGATATCTTATGTAATGCTTAAGTCAGGGCTTTCCTTGTGCACATCACCAGAATAGTGTTCATGGTATCCAAGAGATGAGTTCATATCCTACACCCATCCTCCGTCCCTCCCTCCTTTCTTGGTTTCTTGTGTCCTTTATATCACTTTGTGCCTGTATGTACCCATCTTATTAATGAAAACATAGAGTGTTTGGTTTTCCATTCCTGACATACTTCACTGAGGATAATGTTCTTTCCATCCACACTGGGGCAAAGGACATTATGTCATTCCTTTTTGTGGCTGAGTAGTACTCCGTGGTTTATCCCTTCATGTACTGGAGGGCACTCAGGTGGGTTCCACATCTTTGCAATTGTGGACTTGCTTTCAAAAGTGGAATTCTTTGATGAGACAAATCCAAGGGACTCTCGGGGTCTGAAACAGACAAAAGCTGCTGCACTTGACTGAGGCTGGAGGAGGAGATGCCCACCCAGGAGGACGAGGCCCTTGCAGGGTTTTCAGGCCTCCAACTTGGATGAAAACCCCCAATCACACCCACAACCCACCCGCACCTCCCCAGTTAACCTCTCAGCTGTCCACAACCACAGCGATCCTGTAGTTCCTAGGGATGGTCGATATAAATATCTGGAACCACAAGCCTCGTCTTCAAACTACAGAGGACCTACGAATCAACCAGGGAGCCAGTTTGAAATGCAGATTTAAAGTCCTTCCAACCCCCTCCCAAGATATGATCCACTGCATCTAGG